AAATAAATAGTTATAAGAGTTTTTAGACGGACGAATTTTTTGTTAATTTTTGTGCAATGGATTTGCAGAAAGAGTTTCTCCCTCAATCACTTCTGTAATCTTTCTTTTAAACAAATCTACTAACAAACTTATATCTATTTCATATTACAACTCCTTTTATCAACTACTATCTTTCTATACTATGGTTCTATAATTGATGGGTATTTGTTGAATCTAAGTTGCCAATAATAATCAAATTATCAATTTTACTTTGCCAAAATACAATTCTGGCTTTTATCTTACAAACCAAATTTTTTTTCAATTATTGCTACAATCTTAACAGCTTCTTAAAACTCAGTTATTAATATTTTTATTAACTTTCAATCAAATTTCTAAATTTAATAATTTTCAACTTAATTCAACTCATCTCAATAAGATATTTAAATTCAATTTATGACTAATATGACACACTTTTTTAAATATTATTAAATTATACAAACTACAAATTATTCTTCACAAAATGCAGATCTATTTAAATAATTATCTTAATGAATAAACAGATTTTTTTGCTAAACAACACCTAATGTTACTGCTTCTTCTATTTAATTACACAAATCTTTACAACTCTTATCACATTCTTCAATAGAAATAGTATTATATAGAATTTTCTATAAGATATTTTATCAAACAAATTTGTAAAGCTTATATTTTAGCTATATAAGCATTATAAAAATGAAACAATAAGTAATCATATTTCAACTAAAATATTGATTAGAGATTCATTTAGCTCTATTTTAATTACAATCAAAAATCTTCATATAATATTATTAACTTTAGACTTAATTAGCTAAAATCTTTTAAAACAAAAATTCTTCTTAATAAATTGCCAACATACTTATTATATTATATTATTTACCAAAACCAATATCTAGACACCACTTGTTTCTATTATAATTTATCTAACTTCTCTTTTTACTGATATACTTATGCTAATCCATCCTTATTAAACCTAATTATTCAAACCTCTACTACTGAAATTTTCTTTAATAATTTATTTAATTTTAATATTTATTAAAAATATAATCTAATTAACAAAATTCTTCATTACTTAGCTCTTATTTTTTTATACATATTACCTAATACATTTTATCTCAACCTTACTCTTAAAGAACTTATTTTCAAAATTTTTTATATTAATAATTCAAAACTTTGATATTTTGTACAAAACTGTTTTTCAAATTATTATTGATATTCTCTTTAATATTAATAAACAATCTTATAAGTAATTATAAAAAACATATTACATTCATTTCTCTAACTAAAAAAAAACAACAAAATAGATTTCAATTTTAACTAATTAATCAACATTTAAAATCACCTAATCTAATTATAAAATACACATATTTTCAAAAAAACTACACTTACTTATGTCTTTGTAAACTTTTTGATCAATTACATTCTTATATAAATACATGCCCTCCTATTGACCAAGCAATTTGCAAAATTAACATTTGATCCATTTTATGAATCAAATATAACATATTATCAAATTATATACTAAATATTCAAATCTAAATAAGCATTGACCACTCTAGTAGGTTTAGGTCACAAATAAACTAGTATGAACTTTTATTCTTGCATGTAATTTTCAATTTATTTGTTTTATACAAATTGTAGTAGTTATATAGTTAGCAGTTTAATAGTTAATACTGACTACAAGTGTTGGCCTCAGCTATAGCATATATATATAACTATTTTAAATTGTTAATAAAGATATAAGCAAGGCCTCATCTTAATACTAAAAAAAAATAATAATAATTAAACAATTTTCAAATGACTAGATTATTTCTAAATGATTATAGTTATTTTAAAAAAATTTCAAATAATCAGGTTTAATGTTAGTCAAAATACCTTATTAAGTCAAATATTTAAACAATTTTGTATCAAAATATATTTCAATATATTTATTTTTGTCGAAATTCAAATGTTAAAATAATTGACTAAATAAATATTATATGACTAAATGTCTAAATTAATAATAATTATATGCTAATAACAATCCACAGCATTGTGCCAAGAATCTTCAAAAAATTAAAATAAATATAATGATAAAAAGAGCTTATACATTAAAATAACTGATTTTTAAATTGATAGTAATCCAGATCCAAGTATAAACCTTTAACATAATGAGTACTGTGTAAAAAAAACATGTATAAAATGTGTGAAAATTTCTAGCTAGGTATTATTTAAAAAAACTTATATAATAAAACCTGGTTGATATAGTGAGCAAGCGTTTTTGAATTAAATTTATTTTAAGATATATAGTGTAAAATCTACAAAATAAACAAGTTCGAATATTTGCTAATAAATAAGATTACATATATTGTTTAATTTAGACATTTCGACATTATTTAGATATTTTGATGTTATTTAGACATTTCGACATAATTTAGAATTTCGGCATTATTTTAGAATTTCGGCAGACTAATTATCAAATATCGAAATATTTTTACAAGCCAAAACAATTTCGGCTAACAACGTGAACCAGGTCATCTACCATCATTGTAGTAAAGTGTGTAGATAAGCATTTAATTATTAAAAATGCTTTTGAATTTTTGTTAAATTTATATACTTTAAACTTACAAATTTTATATATATTTTCAATCAAAATTTCTTTGATAGCTCCATGACAAGCCACCCAGATCATATATTTACCTAGTAAACCTACTAGCAATATCAATCATCTTCAGTAATCTATCCTCACTTACAGCATTTATCAAATATTCACTGTTATAAAAAGCTTTACCCATGTGAATATTTGAAGTTTTGTGTATCATAGTGGAAGACATTGTAGTACTAGCTGATACGTGTATTTCTTGTAAATAGGTTGCTGCAAAGATTCTTGATAAATTTGATTCGCGTATTCCTAATTTTAATAATGAAACTTTGTAAACATATGTATCCATAAGTATGAGATTTTATAATATGTACAAACCTCCACCAGGCATAATAATGATTCGGTCTTGTGCATGTTTTACTAATTCTACAATAGTCTCTAAACCTTCTAGTACCGTACTATCACAACCGCTAAGATGATTTTGGCGAACAATTAACTTATTTAAGTATATAGAATAAATTTAAAATTGGTAATTTGAAAAAAATCAATACCTGGTAAGAATTCGTTGTATGCTACCAATCTTGATGATATCATTAAGAGCTTTGAATGGATCATTTGTCATATCAAATGCTCTATGAAAAGTTACTTTAATAAATTAAAATACAAATCTTTGAATCGTAAATTAAAATATAGTGTAATGTTAACGATAATTTTAGAGTAAACGTTAACCTTCCATAGGACTCGCAATCTCAACTAACCTAAAGAAATTGTAATGAATACCTTTTTTCAAATTGAAAAAATGATGTGTGAAAGAATAAATATTAATTATTACTTGGTAACTCTTTCAACATCTACGCAACCATCAGGCATTAAAATTCCAAGAACGACTCCATGTGCTCCAAGATTTTTTGCATGTTGAATATCCAAACACATTACTTCTATTTCTTCTTCATTATAGCAGAAATCCCCGCCTCTGTTCACAGTAATATAAATATTTAACCTTTATTTGATTATTCATAGGTGAGTTCATTTACATATACCTTGGCCTTATCATAACCTAAATACATAATTTTGAAGGTTTATTAAAAAAAAAAGATAATGTAATAACATAAAGAAATTGATACTTCACCATCACAGGAATCTTTAATCGTTTAAGAACCATTGAAATCATTCCTACGTTCAAGTAACTAAATCTATAAATTTTATTCAATCTTTGACTCACATTTTACGTAAACTATTACCTGAACTTGGTGTAGTCCCGCCTTCCGCCAAATTATCACATAACTCAACACGTGATGCCCCTCCTTTTTCTTAATTCAGAAAATTACAATAAGAAAGTTACAAAATAGCTTTCGATAATTTAATCATTATAAAAAAAGAAATATTAGTACGTACGTACCTGCATTAATAGCGGATATCACAGAATCGACACAAACCTATTCAAAAAGTAAACATATAATTTAAAAATGAACAACCCATTCTTTTTATTAAAATAATCATAAATTCTCACCTCAAATATCGGTGTTAGTCTTGACATGTTAAGTTTAATCATTATCGTCGTAAATGGACCAAATTTATACTTTTTATCTTCCCCTTGGCACATGCATCGATTTCATTGGTCTATATGTCTTGAAGGCCAAAAAGGGGTATTGTACTTAAGCCCGGTACCTTGTAGACTAATATTAGGAATACAGCATCAAGGTCAGAACCTGTTTTAGGTCATTTCCAACAGGGCTATAAACACTCGTTTTTTGTATGTTTGACGTTTGTCAACGTTTTACACGTGTTTTAGTTGGGTATCCAAAAAGTACCTATTAAAATATTTCATATATCTGGTCGATACATTTACATATCGTTATTTTATTTTGCCTACATGTGGAAACACCAAAAAATCGAGTCGCAGACTTGTTGAAAGTCGTTGATACAATGAACAATTTATCAGCTAGATACCAAACTGTAAGACTCATCGTCTCAAACATTCAATCACTCATTCGTTTTAATTAATGGTTATTTAATGTGTAAGATGAAGTTCTTCAAATATTAAACGGCCTTGACGTTTGGATCATGAAAAGTCCCAGTTATAGATGCAGAAACTTGGGAGTATGCGGTTATATCAAAAAGATACAAAGTTACGTCAAAGTGCCGTGGCAGACGTATGTCATAATAACCGACATTCACCATAACTAAGATTTTGACATAACAATGGTGTTCAAATTCCATTGACAGTGAAAATTTAGATAATCATCTATGTAATATTTGTATTATGAAAACTGTTACTAATGATTGGATTAGGATACCTGCAATGGTAGTTGCACTAGTATGACTGACAAGTCATGAGGCATCTGTGTAATATTGAAGTTATATAGAGGAATGCAAACTGATAACTGGGTAGTGTAAACATTAGATAAGTTCTTGTGATCATGTAAATCTGTTGAAATTAGATAACAAGAAGTTTATTTGAAAAGACTTAAGTAGAGAGACAATCAAATCTTTGATAGCATTATTATAAAGACTAGCTCAAAGAAACAGATATCAAAGTTTTAGTAATCAGATAGACAAGAATCTCTGGGTTGGGAGTTTCAAAGATATCATTAATCAGGTCATTAGAATGAATCAGAAGAAAAGGTTATTGGATTAATCTAATATAGTGATGAATTGGTTGTAGTTTTATATAGGTCATCTGGATTAGGAGTCTGATAAAATTCAATAGTATACTAAAATATCAGGGTTATGCTGTGAAATAAATACTAGGATTTGAATAAATTCTACAAGGACATAGTGGTTTAATGTTTAAGACCTGACTGCAAGTATTGATTTTATCATAATGATATCTAGATCAATTATAAAAATGGATACAAAAAGCTCTGGAGAGTTTATCTTAAAGATAAAATAGTTCTAAGATTGAGACAATAATATGAACATCTAGATATGATCCAATAAGTTAACTCAGATTACAGATTCAGAAAATTTAAAGTGAAACACCTAAGCAGAGATATTAGGTATAGCAATTGGTATAGAACTTTCAGATGAATTCATTAAATAGGTAATATAAAAATGTTATATATGTAGCTAATTGTATATTTTTTTATAATAGTTTATAAAATCATATTACCAAAAAATCATTAATAAAAGTCAAAAAACTAAAGAAATCATCTTAATATCAAAAAAAAAGAAGCTTAATATAGATTCATAATTATAATTATCTAATAATAATATAATAGGAATTACAAGTGTTATTTATTTTTTGTTTTTTTGTTTTGTTATCTTTTATTTCTTATATTATATTTTTTATTAATTTTTATATCTTTATACAGTTATTATTCCAATTCTAGAATATAAACTATATAATATTATTCTTTTTTATACAGTATGCAACCAAATTTTATCCAAATATTTTACTATAGCAAAATACAAATTGCACCTTTTCAGATTTATACCAAACAGCACAATGCTCAATTCATTTTTATACAATATATATAATATTTGTAATATTCAACTTTAGTATTATATCTCTAACTATTTTAACAAATTAACCACTCTAATTTTCTTAGTATTACAACTTGAATTAAATTCTAGCAGTTATAAAATAATTTATAATCTTCTACTAGCATATTATATTATTTCAAATCTATTATTGATAGTCTTAACAAACATTTACTAAACTTTGAAATTATACAATTTTTTATTTATTTTGGCTTAATCCTTTTAGTTAATTTTAATTTAATTTAATTATATATAATTAGTAATAATGAGTAATTACTAGAATCAATTCTAATATAGTATTCAAAATATTTAATTTTTAAAAACAACTTAAACAATCAACATTATATATTTGAACAACTATGTGCAACAAATAATAGTATCTAACTTGATTAAAAACATCTTTTACCAAGATTCTATATTTATCTAAAAGTAAAAAACTCTTCTGTTTTTTTATTTAGAAGATACAATTTTTGTATACTCTTATTAGCAAAATATTCTACTATATTACTAATTATTTGGTTATAATCTTTATATTTATTATACTATTAATATATCTAAAAAATTTACTAAATCCAAACTCTGATTACTTTTATACTACAATTGCAAAATTATTATTAGAAAAATACAAAAATATTTTCTATTTTCTAATTATTACTCTATTATTTATCGAACTTCTAATATAGATTTAAACTATTCAAAATTTTATACTTTACTCTTTGTTAACTATAAATAATTTCATACTATAATTATAAAATTATTATTAGAAAAATACAAAAATATTTTCTATTTTCTAATTATTACTCTATTATTTATTAAACTTCTAATATAGATTTAAGGGTAAGGTGAATATAGATCATTTTTAATAGTAATCACATTGCAAATCATATGATATCATATGATTTACATTAATTTAACCAATCAGAGTTGTAAACAATAGAAATCTGACTAATAAAAATTAGTAATTTTTGTGTTATCTAGACAAATTTCAATTGTTCTAAGAGAATTTAACAATATATGAAGGTAGGTTTTTTTAAATGATATAAGAATCAAAACTTGTATTATGATAAATAAAAGGTTTTAATCTATATATTATGAAGTTTTGGTAAAGTTTAGTTGTGGTCTTAAAAACTTTTACTAATAGCATATACTCAATTTTTGTATAAAAAAATTTTAGCATGTAAGATCATATAATAAATGATCTACATTTATCCTACCCTTAAACTATTCAAAATTTTATATTTTACTCTCTGTTGATTATAAATAATATACAAGATAATATTTCAATTCTCATAAAATTAATCAAACTTGTACTGTTAAAGTTTTTACAATTATTTTAACACAATTGCTTAACAGAACTTACTCAAATTATTAACTCAACTTTAATGCCAATTACTTGAATTTTATTTGTTTTACAGCTATTAAACATTTAATTCATATTTCTTTTCTATCTAACATTTTTATTATTGATGTAAAATCTTTAATCTAAATAAATTTACTAATAAACTTATATTTATTTTATATTACAACTTTTCTCATTAACAATTATCTTTTTATACTAATAGTTCTATAATTAACATTGGTACTAACTAATGCATAATGAATATTAGTTAGATTCAAGTTAATAATAATAATTAAATTATTAATTTCTTTTTTGCTAAAATATAATTCAGATCTTTATTTTACAAAGCAGAGCTTTTTTAATTATTGTTATAATCTTAACAGCTTTTCAAAATTCAGTTATTAATATCTTTACTGATTTTTAATTAGTAATTTCTAAATTTAATATAATCTTTAATTTAACTCAACTTATTCAAATAAGTTATTTAAATTCATTTTATAGCCAATATAATATACTTTTTTAAATATTATTAAATTATACAAATTACAAATTATTTTTTATAAAATGTAGACTTATTCAGATAATTACCTTAATAAATAAGCAGATTCTTTTGTTAAATAATACCTATTGTCACTATTTCTTTTATTTAACTATATAAATTTTTACAACTCTCATTTTTTTTTTAAATATTAAGATGACCTCTTTGATCTTTTGACTTTTTATTAATAACTTTTTTGATAATGTAATTTAATAAACTCTTACAAGAGAGTATACAATTGGCTATATATATAACTTTTCTATTTTACCTATTTAAAGAGTTCACCTAAAGGTTTTTTACTAATTGCTATATCTAACACCTCTACTTAAATATTCTGCTTTAAACTTTCTGAACCTATAATCTGTATTAATATTATTGAGTTATATTTATATGCTTAGATCATTATCTTAATATTAGAACTATTTTATCTTTAAGATAAACTTCTTGAAGCCTTCTGTACCTATTTTTATAGCTAACATAATATCATTATACAGTAATAGAATTAACACTTGTGGTTAGAGTTATATTATTTAACTACTATATTCTTGTAAAGTTTACTTGAATCCTAGCATCTGCTTCATAGCATAACCCAGTACTTTAGTATACTTCTGTCTTTTTACTAGACTCTTAATTCAAATAGCTTATGCAAGACTACAACTAGTTTATTAATATATTAGATTAGTCTAATATCTTTTTCTTTCAGTTTATTTTGGTAGCCTGATTAATAGTAGCTTTGAGTCTTTTCTAATCCAAAGGTTCTTGTTCATCCAGATACTATAACTTTGATATCTGCTAGCCTTTACAATAGCACTATCAAAGATCTGACTACTTTTTTATTTAGATCTTTTCAAATAAACTTCTTATTATCTAATTTTAATAGACTTATACAACTACAAGAACTAATAATTAGAGCAAATAAAAAACTTTTTCTACAAATCCATTGTACAAAAATTAACTAAAAAAAATTGTCTGTCTAAAAACATTTATAACTTTTTATTTTACTAAGACAATCTGTCCTGACGTCTTAAGTAAACTTGTTCAGCTCAGTAATTTATATATATTCTGAAAATATTATAGATTTAACTCTTAAACTCATAGAGAAAACTGTACTGATGGCTTTTAGGCTCTAGTTTTAGAAAACTAACTTTCTTGCAGTTTCTACTATAATAACTTGTCTCTCATCTTTAATTAAAGTTGTAGTGCACATTTGCCTGGTCAAAACAAGCTCTAAAGGAAGAATTTTGATCCAATATCAGCTGAACTACATCTAATTTCACCTTTTACTCTTCTGTAAAACTTATTTTCTTATTTTCTAATTATATCTCACTTCTTTCTTTTTTCTTTATATTATTTTTATGTAATCATACTATCATTTCTCAATTAATACTTTATTAATTTATACTAAAATCTTGTAACCAGTCTATTAATAGAAACTCATTAACACAATTTAATCATTTTTATTTTTGGTTCTTATTAATTGTACACAGCAATTTGTATTGCAAATCTTATTTGTACTAGTACTCGAGTCATATCTGTAACCCTAACCATCATAGTTACACTTCAATATTATTTCTGTGATATTCTAACTATACAACCCTTGTTTCCATCTACTACTCTTGTAAAACAATCAC